TGTACCAAACTTAAAGAAATTCATACTTACCAATTTCAGATACTAACGAATGTGTTTCGCTTTTAATTATAGAATCATGTGTGGTTTCTGAAAATTCGTCCAATGTTTCTATAATTTCTTTAACTTTAAATCGTACTGATTTTATGTTGTCGTGCCTTCTCTCCCATCTTGTTTTTGACCACCTTTAAGTACACTACGTCATTTCGTGCAGTACGTCTACGAAATCTCAAATGTGTACTTCGGAAAATAAAAATGTACACGGTGCACCTATATCTTTATAACAATTAACCTGTAATACTTTTCCTAATAATTTCTAAAGTTATTGGTAAGATTTATAAAATTATAACAGCTTAAAGTGTATTTAGCTATACTAAATAAAACTTTGTTGAAAACGATAAAATATTTACAGATGTATAAATAAGTATAATGACTGTAATAATATTAAATATCTATATCTATAATCTATTATAAATTGTAATATATTATAATAATTCATTATAGTAGGTATAATGACCGTTATATATTGCCGTTTTTTAAAAGCGATGACCGCGACAGCTTGCTGACAGTTGAATACTTCAAAAGAAAAGGAAATAGTTATCGGGTATTTTTTATTCACTCGTGTGTTCATCGATTAAGGCAAATATTGGGGAAAACTCATGATCATAAAAAAATTCGAGTTTTTCCTTTATATATTAATCTATTAAGTATATTATTATACTTGTAATTTTTATTTAGTTATAAATAATTTAGAAATTCATGAAATGACAGTACATAAATATAAATCATAATTCATAGTAAAACTAATTATATATTCCTCGCGCCGCTCAGAATATAAAAATTAATAACGCAATGCCCCATAAAGCACATTGTAGATCAATTTACAACTTAGTTTTGTTTTCATCGACAGCGTACCTATATAATATATATAGACCATAGCCCATAGGGTATGTGAATGTCATTCAGATAAGGCAAATAATCTTTAACGTCGTTGTAAATTGACGAAAAAAACCAGAAATACCCAAATGTTTACGAAATATTCAGTTATTTACAAACTTTTGTGACATAGAATCAATTAGGTACATTAAATTTTATTTTGCACATTTTTGCATGTTTAGAGATTTTGAGGAATAAATGAATAATTATAATATACCTAATTGCATGTTTTGCATATTTATTTTCCATATTTCGATAAAAGCTGAAAAAAAGTCATAAGTAAAAAATGTTTATATCAATTTTTTTCACATTTATACTTATAATAATTTTAAAAAATGTAATAGAGGTAGGTATTTACTAATATATTTTTATTGACTTAATGGAAAATTTTGATATTTTTCTGGCATATTAACAATATATATTTCGATTTTTAAGGTCATAAACACAAAACACATAATTATTACATATTGTCACAAAATGCAGTGGAAATATTACAAAAATAAACACAAAATACTATAGCATATGACGAATGACGACGACGGTTGGTGCAGTAATAATGGTAGTGATATATACTTGTATTGAAATTCGAAATATAAACAAATAATTTTCTAATGTAAGTAATAACTAATAATGTATTATTGTATACCATATTAAAATATGTGAAAATGTATAAATGTTTAAAAAATTCATATTCAAAGAACTAAATATTTTTGTTTCAAGATTATGTGTTGTAGACTTAACAAGTACAACAAACGTATGTTTCTTATTAAAAATTATTAATATTRAAATCTTCGCACAATGTTTTCATTATGTAATGATTGCTTAAAAGCTCCCTTATTAATGTCTCTGGAAAATAAAACATTGATTGATTTAAAATGTGTAGATATTTTGGACATTATGAAAAACKCATCTACCTAATACTTTATCTAAATATCATCGTAACTACAAATATATAGTTATAATATAATTTAATTTGTCACACTACTACTATAACTATTACTGATTTATACATACGTAATGATTTATTTTACATTGTCATTGTAGGTAGTTAACATAGAACAAGTTCATAAATCCTAATTCTTATAAAATTCGAAGGTACGTAGAATTACTATTGAGAAATATTTAACAATTCGTCAGTTTATATTAGAGAGTAAAATGTAGGGAAATGAGCCGGTTGCTTACAGTAAATAGTCGGTCAAAAACCCTCCAACCCAGCCRTGATATTATAATATATCGAATAGTCGGGACGTAACAATTAACCCAGTAACTACGAACTGAAATGTCTTAAGGCAGTTAACGTTAATTTTTAATTGGTGACTGCGAATCAATCAATATAGATTTTAAATCATAGTAGGTATGTAATATCATGATCTAAGGTATAATGATATGATACAATCTCGGACACAGCACACCTTATCATTCTTCCGYCTTGCTGTGGTAAAACGTCACCCACAGACTTAGATAATAGGTACATAATAATATTACATTATATCTCTCTATCTTGGCCCGTGACATCAACCACTGAACTGAAGTCCGGAAACACTAACATTGGTAGGATGTTCGTTAACATGATAACGTTCATAACAATTTTCGACCTCGGTAATGAATACGAATTACCGGTTGGGTCACACGTTATGCGTATAATAATAATATGCTATATAGTCTATGATGCAACCTATTGGCTATTTCATGGTATATATATATGTTTTATCCCAAATAAACCGTTTTGTACAGTGTTATATTATTATCATCGAACAGAGGATAATACACACTTATTGTAGTTGCCAGTTGGTATTCGTATTYTAACTATTAGGCACGATATTATAAAATTTATAACCAAAAAATCGAATAATCGTGTGTATAGTTCAACATTTCTAATCGTGTCATGAACGTTACTACGTTAGCCACTGTAAGATTTCGGTAGTTCGGAATATTGAACTCGTGAGTCGTTGCACAGTCGTTTCGTATTTCGATTTCAGTTTTACGCGAGTGATTACGACTTCCACGCAACGTGTTCATATAGGTACTTGTATAGTGGAAGTCGGCGCTCGCTACTCATCTAGACCATTTTGCGAAATTCGAAATCAATGGTCACGATGACAAACTGAATCGACCTAGATACACGTCCAAGTCGAACTTCACCGTAGTGATCGCGTTATTGAAAGAAATCAACAATCGGCTATCGTTAAAATGACCAACGTTTGTGTTCTGTGCGTGAAACCATTGGCCAAATATCCAAACAACAGGATATCATATCACGTGTAAGTCTCGTTCACAACATTATTCGACCTAACTTTTTGGAACAAAAACACACCAGACTAATCAGTTGTATTTTATTTGTGTTAGATTTCCAGCATGTCCAAAAAAACGGAAGATTTGGCTCAAACAGTGTAGATTAACAAACAAAGAAGTCTTACCAAAMCGTAAGATATGCTCACTTCACTTTGAACCATCATGTTTCAAATCCAATGTAAAGAGGCGTATACTTTACCCTGATGCTGTACCAACAATTTTTGGAACGACAAGTCAACCGTCAAAAATTGTGAAAGGTAGGTACTTTACATTTAACTTCCAATATTTAAGTGTTTTTTTTTTTTTTTTTAAATTTGAATACTAGTGTGGTACTGCGGTAACACCTAAAATATGTTTGTAATCGTCTCTTAAAAATTAGGTCAATATAATATATGCAATATTAATCAATAAACTTAATGAGGTCTATATGCTTAAATATGCAAAAAAAATTATTTTTATTTTTTACAATAGTCAGGTAGGTACTACTTATAAATTTTGAATAATGGATTAATTGCTCTATAGTTAGGTACAGCTAAAATAGTGTCTTTTGTGTTGAAAGGTACCTATTTAAAATGTTCCAATTTTTTATTTTATTCATTAATTGTAACACTTAAAAACATACTATCTCAAAACTAAAATATATTTGGACTTTTGATAAACAGATGCATTGTTGTTATCAGTATAATTTATGTAAATATTTGGTGCAATATGACCATATTATACTGCATTCTATGATAGCAACTTAATAGTAGATACTATTATTGTGTTTTTTATCAAAATTCTAAAAATAAAAAAAATATATTTTAGGTCGGTGTAGGTACCTACTATAATATTAAAATTAATTACAATAATTTTAAAAATAAAACGTATCAGGTAGTATTTTCCCTCATAATTTACAAAATATTCCAAAATATGCTAAGGCCGGTTCTTAAATTTCCGGTTAATTTTCTGTTAAATTTAACAAGACATTGTAAGGACTGGTATATAAGGTAAATAATTTAAATACCCATTTCCTAATCCATGAATTATCCCCAAGTATACAAAAAAAAACTAGTCTATGAACTCTTGTTGAATGAATTATCCACATTTTTTACTTTCATTAGACTGAATAAACTCAATAACAATATGTAAAAAATATATAAATATGAATTTCATTTATAATTTATTACTGAATATCAAATGCTTAGATTTTAGTTGTACCTAATAGTTACTTGAATTTTAATAATTGATAGTAAAGACTTTGTTTTCTACATTTYTGTTGCTACATTTTGTTAGGCATTTATTAAATTAAGAATCATACCTAGATTGGCTTTTAATGTATATTAATATATTTTTTTTACTGATTTGTGTTTTTATGTGTTCTAACTGATAACGCATAATTATAATAGTATAACCAACTGGTATACTATTATTATTTTTGCAGTGTTGTTAAGGAACAATTCTTGGAATTGATTCCTTTTTTGAGGAACATATGATGTAATTAATTCCATTATTTTTTAAAGAAATAGGAACATGAAATAATTYCTTATTTTAAGGAATAAGAATATAAATATTATAATTATTTTGTATACCTAGTACCTATATTGTATTTTATGTACTATTTGAGATATATTTGAAATAATATTTTTACACATTAATTGACAATTGTAAAATTAAAATATTTAGGATAGTAAAATAATTATATAAGGTATTAATGTAAAATAAGTAGGTAACTAGGAACCAGATACTTTTTAGAGGAATGAAGAAAAGAACGAATTCCTTTTTTATACAAACGAGAAATTAAACAATTTCCTTTTAATATTAAATTAACTAGGAACTGAACAAATTCCTATATAAAAGGAATTTTAGCAACACTATATTTTTGTAATTTCTGTTTAGTTAATGAATTATTTAAATGTTTCTCATTATATAGCACCGAATACTTACATTGAAAATTAAAATCAGGGTAATTGGTTCGGTAGAATTTTAAGTCTTCAAATATTGCTGTTCAAAGGTATTACCTTGCATACCCATATTTTACACATTAAGTAATTTAATTTCAAAAAATCCGTACTTTGCTAACTTATCTTACCTGGTAAATTTCAACTTCATTTATAAGTAGTTTTTGAGATAATGTGTTTAAACACAATTAGTTGGAAAAAAAAGTTGTATTCAGCCCAAATGATAAAAATTAATAGGCTCATGTTTTTATTTAGTTAGGAAATGACTGATGAAATATCGCAACCACTAAATATGAATGTTTAACAAATTGTATTTAGTGATGTATTTACATTTCATAAAATTGGTGTAAGTTTATAATAATAAATATATTAAATATATATTATATATTCATAATTCTAAATTTATAAATTCCTATGTTAAATGTGTTATCAAATYTATGCATAAAAATTATAATATTACATATTGTGAAGGATACCTTCATAATCACATATTAGATTAATTACCAATGTGTCTATTATTTAAATTATATAATCCAGTGGTGTATTTATGGAGGGGGGATCTATAGGGGCCAGACTCCCCCTTGGYTTCATAAATACTCATCTAAACGTCTAATATATTATTACGAGTATTATTATATTCTGTGCTAAGTGCAAATATATGTTGTACCTAACTTGTAAYCATATAAAATATTATTTTTTACATAATCGGGGAAAAAAATGTTATCATAAATTGTTATGCATGGTTGACATGTCTCATCAGACGTCAGTCAGTTAGAAATAGATTAAAGTAAATTATTATCTTCGGCTGTTAACTTACTGGGCTACTTAGAGGAACAACTATAGAGTAGTTACTAGTGTATTATTTTAGATATTTTTTGCCTTTGGAATAACTGTGTGTAAACAACTACAGAAAGAACGGATAGATTTAAAAAATACTTTAAGTACCTACAATTGAATTATTAGTTAATACTTTAAAAGCAATGAGACTGGATGCAGAAAAAGAATTTTACATTTTATTTGGGAAACTAAAAGTATGTGATTTGAGTTTTAAAGTAATTCAATTTTGAGTATTAATATATAATTGACTATTAATATCTTAATAGAATTTAGCAAATGTTATTGACACAGAAATAATTAAAAAACACACAGCAATAAAACAAACAAATAGAGCAAATCCTTAAGTATCCTCTGTAGAAGATTATTATAGAGTGACAGTGTTTATGCCATTTATTGACAGTTTTATCAACCAACTTACAACTCTATTTTAAAATCATAAATCCGTTTTTGAAGGTAATAAGTATATTGAATTATCTAGGTTAGTATTAAAATTGGTAATAAATATTATGTTTTGTATATTAATATAGGGTTTGAATGTTTATTTACGACAACATTTTCTGATGCTGAAAAAATTGCATTTAATAATTTAGTTAAATTTTACTTACCATCAGTAGAACATRYYAAWGCCTATATCAAAGWAAAAATTTGGAAATTAAAAATAGCCAGTCAAGGGGTCRACATCAAAAGTGGGTTAGAAGCACTTTTGAGTTGCTCCTTGATTGACTTTCCCAATATTAATTTTTTAATCAAAATATTATGCATACTACCAGTGTCAACAGCAACGCCTGAAAGATCTTTTTCAAACTTATCTAAGATTTACAATGAACAAAGAAATCTTTTAATTATTTTGAAAAATATTTAATATCTACTATATAACAATATAACTTATTTGTACTTAATTTTATTATTATGTAGACGAGGCTAAATGGACTGGCTATGATGTCCATTCATTGTGACATACATCTAGATGTAAAGGAAATAATAAATGAAATGGCTCTAAGTCCCAGAAAATTAGATTTTGTATTATAGATGTTGATTTTATACGATTAAAAATAAATAATTAACAACAAAATGAATTTATGTTAATTCATTGTAATAAATTTATTGAATTCCTATATAAAAATATAAAATAAATGAATTAAATAAATCGTAATTGGTGGGTAGGGGCCCCCCCGTCTTCTCCCCCCCCCACGGATCTGTAGTATGAAAATTTTCTGGACCCTCCTCATGAAAAGTTTCTAAATACGCCACTGATATAATCAATAAAATTAAACGCAATTTTAAATGTAATAACAATTCATATTCRCCCTGATAGGAAAAACTGTAATTTAAATACTTGTAATAGTACAAAAAAAAAGTTAAAAATACAATATTTAGGTCTCTTTAATATTTTTGATGAAAATTTAGAGTGAAAATTACATAATTATTAAAATGACATTATTTATTAGGAAAGTGGTGTGTGGTGGAGTATAAATGTATTACACTTAAAAGTTTATTACTCAAACACAAAATATGTATAATATATTATTATATGCACTATATCAGATGATCTATCAATATCAACAATTGCATAAATTGACCTACATTTCTGATTGTTGCTGAGGAATATTTTATTTTGAAACTCACCAATACTTCAATTTTGGAAATTCTCGACTAATTGCTTACCTACTGCCCTAATTGTAATTAATTATTAKAATTAAGAAAGACACTTGTTCAGCAGTTATAACTTTATAAATACTTGTTTTATGAACAAATTTTTATGATTTTATGGTGGTGCAGAAATATAAATTTAAATTTAAAACTATATTATATGATCAWAAAAATTAAAAAAAAAAAAAGAATTGTATCTGTCCTAAAAAAATATATATACGAGTATATCATTTGATACTCTTGTACGATATTAATGTCAGTTGCTAAGAATAAATACAATTCAAGCTATATTTCTGTTTTAGGAAAAACAAAAAATTGCAATAAAAATGCAATTGCCGGTCAGAATCGTCAGTCTCGTGATACATCATTAACAAGAGCTGCTAAAAAAGGTATTGCTAGTTCAAATCATGTGTCTCGTGATATTTTACCAACAAAACCTGCTTCAAAAGTACTTCATCGTGTAAAAAGTAATGAAACAAATCGAAAAAGAAAACTTGATAAGCACGATGAACCTATAGTGGCATTTAAAAAGAATAAGTCATCATTTATGTCACTATTGAAACTTGTAAGGATTCAAATGTCAATGACTAACGGAATAAAATGATAAGCAACTGATTATTGGAGCATTCTAAACAATTTATTTCTAAAATCTAACAAATAATAAAAAAAAATGTACCATTTTTAATATTGCTATAAGTGTTCTATATTATACAATACAGGGTGTATTATATTTCAATAATTGTTAGGAAAACAATAATTATATTTTAAGAAGTTGATTTAATCTAAGATACGATAATTTTACTTTTCTATTTGATATCCAAATGTTTTATATAATGGCTGTTTAATGTGGGGCAAATGTATGTAAATGCTTCATAACTGCAAAAAGTTAGTAAAATTAGTTAAGATTTGTATACTATTAAGTTATATTTTATATTTTTATCTATAATTTTACTTGGAAATGTTCATTACACTTTTGCCAATATTTTATTTGATAAAACTACCAAATGTTTATATTATTAATTTTATAATTTATTAAAAAATGTATTTATTAATTTTTTTTTCATTTTTACAAAGAAGGATTACAACTATTTAAAAAAAAATGTCTTATGCATTGTTATAAAGTTGTTTTAAAAAATAAAGAAGGATTGTTATTTTGTTAGTAACATTTATTGTCAAATTGATGTCTCCGTCCATTTATGATTCTTATCACAAATTGTAATAATATATATKAGGTATTATTGTATGTGGATTGGTACAATTTATATGAACTATTTTTAAATTAAAACTATTACAAAAGTTTTGCTTAACTTATCATTGAGTTAAAATTGTATGATTGCATACAACAGTGATAACTAGMTTGATTTGTAGCTAGATGATATGATGAATAATATTTATAGATTTATTTTTAAAAGTACCTGAAATACTAATACCCCCTTTACAAATTATGGGGCTTTTTTCGGTTCATTAAAATAGCATCTGTAATTAGATTCTGTAGCAGACCAAGTCTAGTCATCTTATTGCTCAATGTCTGACTTAAACTATAATTGTATTTTCTAGACCAGCTCAGTATTGACATTGTTGACAATTATACTTACTTAGCGTGGTTTGCAGTTWGAGTGATTCTTTACTGCGCAAAACAGTTTTTGCAATGTTTTACATTAGTAAGTAGTATAAGAAATATATTAGAAATCAAATATAAGAAATTTGAAAATATGCTCTTTAAGTCTACTTAAAAATTCTGAAAATCAGAATTTGAATAAATGTACTATTAAATGGAATAATGGAGAGGGTGCATGCTTAAAAAGTTACCTTGTATATAATACTGTTATACCTACAGTCTACATTCTTATATTGGTTTCATATTATTGATAAGATTATRAAAATAATTTTGTTAAATTGCTATTATATATTTATATGTACTATCAATGATTCATTTTAATTACCTATTTTTTATTTGATATTTATAAAGTAATACATATTAACTATGGATTGAATGAAAAATGGTCCATAAACAAATATGAAATGAAATATCTTTGACAACGTACATAGTAATAAATCAATGTAAATCAAAAAATCTATGTAAAAAACTCACTTTATTTTGTTTAATACCAATGAATCCAGTTGGAAATTTTACTCTCCACTAATCTATGATTTTACAATTAAATCTTTTATTGCAGTTATCTTATCAATACAAAAATATTAATATTAGTTTTTTCTTTTATTGATTTTAAAATAATTTTATTATCAATATCACAATTAATCGATAGTAAACATGCATATATAAATGAAAATAAAGATGTTTTATTTTCTGTAAATAGTTAAAATATTAATATTAGTTTTTTCTTTTATTGATTTTAAAATAATTTTATTATCAATATCACAATTAATCGATAGTAAACATGCATATATAAATGAAAATAAAGATGTTTTATTTTCTGTAAATAGTTAAAATATTAATATTAGTTTTATGTATAATTTATTACTTGATAAAATAAAGAAAAATATAAAATAATGTACATTTAAAAATGATTAGGTAAAAAATTAAAATTAAATAATTAGGTATATCCAAAATCTTCATTTTCGTTCTATTATAATGCAGTATCCATGATGTTATTTTAGATTTTCTTTTTCTTAGCGCAATGGTTCCACAATGTGTCGTTTTGATTAGTGGAAAATGGTCTTTTCTGTAAATTATAATACAAATTGTTTATACTATGTACACAAAATACTTTTAAAGTTAAAAAGTATTATCATTTATTTATATAAATTCTATATCTAAAAATGTACTCATAATTTAATATACTACAATTATAAAAAAAAATATAAATAGTTTACGCCAATATGCACTTAAAATATTGTGATTATGCAAAAATAAAACATACTATTATTGATTATACGTATATTTACAAGCAMCGGATATTTTTTTCAAAACTTATACACTTAGCCACTGGTAGAAAAGTATATGTATATCAAATTAGTTAGAAAATATAAGTACAGAAAAATGTAATAATGTAGAAAAACAGAGTACTAAATAATATATTATACATATCTTAGTTAAACGATTATTAAGTAAAAGTGACCAAAATTATAATGAAATTACTTAACTTTCCAAATAAAAAAGTAACTGTTATTTTCTCATTACAAATTTTATTTTTTAATTTCATAGCAATTATAGCTCTGTCAAGCAATAATATAATAAGAAATACATTATCTATAGTAAAGTTTGTAAATAGCACCACATATTAATATARAACTTATTAATTATTAAAATTAACTGTTTCTTATAAATGCCAAATGGCTAAAATCATTTATAACGCTGCATAGSTGCAATGCAAATATTTTGATTTATCATTTTACAGTAAGCACTAAGTACCTACTAACCAGAAAATTTTTTTATATTTTTATATAAAATGTAAGTATAGTGATAACTAACAAATATAAATTCTAATATTAAAAACAAATAACAATAGATAGTAAAGATAGATAAATTGTATAGTTATACTACATTTATAATATGACTACTAGCCAAGTGCTAATAATGTTTGGGTATATATGAATAGTCCATGCTATAGATATTCATGGAAAAATTCTGTGTTGTTATAATATATTAAGAKGAATCAAATTATTAATAATTTTAATCAATTGTTTTTGTGATTCGCTGAACAATTWAWAGAAATGTCAAATCATGGTGGTGCATTCAAATTAAATATACCTATATATTATATTAGAGTGGTATATCTGATATACCTAATACCCGCATTATAGACTTATTTATTAAAAGATTTTTTTAACTTTCCAATATTCATTACTTTTTTGTTATTTGAAAATAGGTAATTGTAATGAAATTACACAACACGTTACAAACAAAGTATCGCTGTTACAATAACACGTTACTATCCAACACTGGTTTGAGGCCATAAGAAATCTTATGCTTTGGTATACATAATTGGGATTGATTTCTAGGAAAATGAGAAGGGATTTCAAAAGATATAGCTGTATACATTTTTGGAACAATCAGTCAATTATTTAATGCTGAGATAAATCCAAGTTTGATTTATCGCAATTATAATAGGCTCTTATCTCTAAGAATATTACGAATCTGTCTTAATATTGAGATAATCGTGCTTTTTGAAGCAAATTAATAAATAAAAATTAAATGTATGATATACATTTTAATGAACTTATCATGTTCATAATAAGTTAAAAAACGAATCAACGATTCATACTCTTTTATAGCTACACACACTCAAAAAAATATATATAAAAAAAAATATATAATTATGGCTATTGTATAAACTTTTATATATGTTCAGATAGTAAAATCTTTTTTCCTACAATATTAAATTGGTAAAAATTTGCAGAATATTGTTGTATTAATTATGTATATTTAGATAAATTACCTTGTAATTGAAGCTGCTAAGCATGGATTGAATTAAAAGGCAAACGTATTTCATTGACAATACTGGTGACCAGTCATCGGCAAGAATGGATAAACAAATATGCCCATTATCATACACATATGGATGAATAGGAATGTTTTGACCCACAAATTTAACCTTGAAGAAAATGTATTAAAAATAGGTTAATTATCAAAATTAAATCTAAATTATTTACTTCAGGTGGTTCAAAAGGATAATTGGAACCAAATTTGATCTGTAACTGAAACTGTTCTCCTTCAAGTCCTTCATACATATTACAATTAGCACTTTGAATATATACAATCCATCTAAAAAGTAAAATGAAATATGAAATAAAAAGTTAAATATTCATAATACAMTGWACATTATTAGGTACATGCCAATCAAGATTTATAATTTTTGGTTCGCTAAAACTAATTAATTTTGAAACAAAAATACTCACAATATGTTACAGTACATATAAGAATGTAAGTATTCAAATAATAGTAAGATTATTAGAAAATTAGAGATTGAATATTTAAAAAAAATTAAACAAACAATTTCAAACTTAATTTGAAGAAATTGGTAATAATCATTAACAACATGTCTGTCGTTAATTTGCGTATTGAAAACCTACTCATCTCTAAAATATTAAATCATCATCAAACATAAATAATTTGTATCTAAATGTTTAGGATCACCTATATAATAATCAAATAATTTATGTTACCTAATTAACTATATTGRTAAATATAGCAACATTATATATTTACAATTTACAAAATATAGTAATGATTACCTCACAAAATTATATATAGTTATAAATGAACAACAACTAGGTATAATAAAATCAATTTTTTTTAAATGAAAAATATTAATTGAAACTTTAATAATATTCTCACAGGGATACACAGACTAGCGAACTACAAACATTTGTGATTCAATTATTTATACATTATCAAATTAATATTGTTTAAATCTACTCAAAAGCAAAGATTATTTTGTACTTACAAATTGGGATTTTTTGCAGCTTGAGTAGTATCTAAAACTATTCCCGGAGAAGGTTCTTTGACAAATATTTCCAATTCATTTTGGATTTTATTCTATGTAAAATTMAAATATAATAATTTTTTTTATACAAAAAATATGTAATTCTATATAATAAGAATAACAATGTGTAAGCAGATACATACTTTATATGGTGGTATTCTAGTCATATTGCGGCGATCACTGACAATATAATACTTTATTTGTTTATTTTTAAGTAAAACAACACTGTGTGGTTAATATTTATTCGTTGTGGTGTTAGATCAACGAGAACAAAGAATACATATCGATCATAAGTAAAGTTAATGAAACTATAAATAAACAACTTGTTTATCGCGAGCGCAACTACTAGTCTACTTGACGGCCAAGGATGTAATGACCACTGCTCACTGGCATCGACGCATCATTAGTGGAAAATGTTGAATGTTAAATATATTGAATCGATTTTAACGCGATCTACGATATGTTAATTGAATACGACCGGTAAAATAGTTATTTAAGTTAAATTGATAATAAATGAAATGTTTAAAACCACTAACATAAATTAATTAAGTGATGTGAGTTAATTATACATTAATAATTTAAAAATTAAAATATTTCCAAAATGAGGTTACTAGATTACGTTTGAACAGTTGGATTTTTATTTGTTAGAGGGAGTTAGATTAGATTCTTCCACTTCCACCTCAACCACTATAGCCTGTTCGTACAGTTCTTCATACCAGACCCTATCGCCCTATCGGGCGACTGTCGCTCTGGACCTTGTCACTATATTGGTGGAGGGGGGCTGGCATATGCGGAATTTAATGAATAGTGAACAAATCGACTACACGTGGCATTATACGATATGTTGTTTACGTGGCAATAAAAATTTTCACGATACCTAYTGGTAAACAATAAGAGTCTGATATCATGTTCGTCTTCGGGCTTATTTTTATGCGATGTTGTAACACTATGATACAAAATTCTGACTCRCCGAGAAAATAACTATTCATACATTTAATGTCAGTATCAATTAAGGATTTAATAACAAAAAATTCTTATACTTAGTGTTGAAAGTAATAAAACGCTAAATGCAAAATGAATGTTTAAATGTATTATTAATTATTTAAAAAAACAACTGTCTCAGCAAGAGACCAAAAAAAGTGCAGATTACCTAGTTGTTATCATAGTTAGAGCCATGGACTGAATTTAAAAAAAAAAATCTAATTTAAATAATTAATAGGCAGCGTTGCTAGGAACCACTGAATATTGTCAGTAAYATGCGCGCGGTARAACTGGGAATTAKATACGTTGTCATGATTTACAAAGTTGTTGAAAATTTGACTTTAGTTTCATAGTAGTTCTTATATAGTTTACAATCTKTATACAAGTACATAAGTCAACAATAATACAATATAAAATAAAAATAAAACACTCAATAAAAATATTAGTAACATTAACAAAGCTACAGTTTACAAATAGGTAAATACCTTAACAACTTTGGATCATTAAATTTACAAACAATATGTTTGATTAAGCAATGCAATATTAGAAACTTCGTATATTCCAGGAAAATTCCTGAGCTTGGGAATATTTCTGGGAATTTTCACAGGGAACATTCCGGTTACTAAATTCCCAGTACCTACAATCCCATACACGCTTCACACATCACAATATTTGACACTGAATCTTGCAAGACCACCAGTTTATAGACTATGCTGGTAACCACATTTACAACTGGCCGTCAACAGCTACGGATAATGTCGTATTATTGTTATCATGATAACACATAGGYACAGTTACAACACGTTAGTTCGCCGTGCCCGATTCCCCGACCGAAAAATGAGACGAACACTATTATAAAAGCCTATCAAGGCACCGACCTATCTTGCTGTAAACCYAGAAACTGAATTAAAAGCCGCTATTGAATTCGCTGGAAGAAAGCCAAAMAAGTTTTCCTAATTAAGTGTCCGTTAACACACCGCAAAATGCGGCTTCCACCTGTGCACTTTGCAGATTATCATTATAGCTATCTGGCCTTAATTGCTGTGTACTAGTCTTCACCGGGTACGACTGTACGAGTAAAGTTGCGTGGCTGGTTAGGTTCGGTCGATTTCCTAAATACTATCAGCCACTTTTAATACCACCAACAGTTCGTTTAGCCCAATCTTGCGAATACCTCTTGTGGCCAGGCTTCACGGTGAAGTTCCATTCCACAT